ACCAATTGTTTCTTTGTCTTTACCCCTCAACTTCTGCAGTCTTTTATAAGATGAGTGAATTCCTAGACTCACGGTTGAGTTGTGTCCAATAAGATGGATCAAAGTACAGACGGATTTACTCCCTCTACAGTTCTGTAGTCATTATAGCTGTTGATCAAAACCGTATTCAATCCTACATAATTTCAAAGTGCTTTACAAACTGCACATAGAGGAATTTATTCACGCACCACTGAAATGCAGTCACTTCTAGGGTAAAATGGGATAACTGTTTAACAGCACACAGCAACAGAAGAGAAGGTGAAGAATACTTTGCAACTGAGGCTATATGCGATTCAACTAGTAGAGAAAACTGACTTGAGTTGCCATTCCTCTTGACATTTCCTGCAGGAAAACCTTGTTAGGTTTTTGATGAGCCTCAGTTATAGGTCTTATTCTAAAAGGGAGCATAAATTCATAACAGTGGTTGGATGCTGCATTCAGTACTGATTCAGAGAAAAGAGCATCACTAATTGAAACACTAGAGCTGATTCCTGAAGTACCTGATCTTTTTCAGATGTCTCCAACCACATATTAGCTAGCCCCAACTCCACTTAGTTTGCAATCAGACCATAGCATAGACCAACATGTATATGATAATGAAGTAGTGTAGATCCATAAAGTATCTACACAGTTAAACTGTAAAAACTTCACATTAGAAAGTGGCACGCATGCCGCTTGCTAACCAAAGTCTATCCTACAGGAGTTCCATAGGCAGCCTCAACAGATTCCATGACTTCCTTGCTGCCTGCCCTGTTTTGAAGGAAGGTACAACTTCTACAGTTTCAAATTCTGGTGCTTCTTTATCCACAAATACCACTGGATCTATTCTTTACTTCCTTGCCCTGCTGCTAATTCTCCCATCCAAGTTCCCAACCTTTCTTATTTACAATAAGATCTGCTTCTCCATCCTCCCATATACTGTACTGCCCTTTCTAGTCCATCCAAAATGCTGCTACTACAGTCATCCTTCCTGGTCAGTGTTTTGATTAATGTCACACACAAGCCTTCAGGATCTCTCTACTGGTGCTCCTAGTAGTAACAATTTAAATTCAACTTCATGTCACTGCTTTCAAAAACTTCAGGTCCTCTCTACTTATTTACCTTCATCTTGTTCTGAATCTTCTTCCCTGATGATGGGGATAGCCTTGAAGGTCTATTTATCAGCTTTTTATTAACTCTGCCTGGAAAATCCTTTCTGAACTCATCCACAAAGTCCCTATCTTTTTGGCATTAAAGTTCTTCTTGAAGATTCATTTCTGCTATGCTTCACATGAAGAATTTAATTATCACGTGTATATGAATTAGCTTAATTTTGTCAACATGAGACCTAACTCACCTGGGTCTTTTATTAATATGTTGTACCCTTCCCCCTAAATTGTGTCTGTTCTGGTAGTTGGGGACTCACTTGACACATATATGGGTACCATTAGAAACAGTAATAATGCTTAACAGTTCATAAATAGATGACCCCCAAATCAAGCCCCCTGGTCTAAACAACTATCTGGATCTGCAAGTCAAAGACTTTCAGCAAATATCAAATGCCTACACAAAGCAGATAGGACTTCAGCTTTTGAGGTCTCATCTGAAAAATCCACACAGGTAAACCAAGGTTCATGAGGTCATCTTTATAGAAGGACCTGGTTGATGCTGCAGGTCCAAATCCTAAAGAGTACAGCCATTTCCACCTTGATTTGGAAGAAAATCACTAAGGTAATGAGATAAATGGAGGAGCTCAGCCTGCACTCACCACACAACAGATCAAGCATTTTTCACCTCTAATATTAGTTACCTAATACCAAAGTCCTTGCTCAGGCAAAAGTCCCACTAACTTAGCCAGGACATTGTCGATTTCAGGATTGTTACTCAACTAGGACTGAGCAAAGTCTGCAGGATTCAAACACTAGAGTATCTCAGAGCTTTTCTCTTTGTCCTTCTCCATTATTGTGTGACAACAAATTCTTCTGTCCCATTAGGTTACATTCTCCCGCTTGGCCCATGGCGCTATTTCCTGCTACTCCGAGATCAGGACTTGGAAACAGATGTACATTCACGTCCTGACCAGACAGCACAAGGTCTCAACACTAGACAAGCTCTCCTCTCCTCTTTCT